TTTAACGTTTTGCACAGCCATTTGGCAGCCCTCACTATGAAAATCTCAGTACCTTTGAAAAATCCACATTCTGCATTTTATCTAGAAGTAGGCATTGCTTGGGTAGCACTATCCCAGGGCGAGTTTTTCATAAACACACCAGCAGTTTCTCCTCTCTGTATTCTCTCTGGGTGGATCTTATTTAAGCACAGCCCACACACAGGTTTTTAAAAGTCCTGCTAGAGGAGGGGCTTTGTTGGGAGATCTGGCAAGGCAAGGGCTCTGCTGGCAAGGATCCTCTATGGCCAGGTGGCTCAGGGAGATAAGGACAGACACTCATGTGCACCTATCTGAGTGTGGGAACAGGGAGAGGGTAGGCAGGAAACAACTGGATCCGAAATACTATGGTAGAGAGCTGTATATAAGTGTTAGGAAACTCAAATAAGAAATTTAGGTCAAAAGGCTTGAGTAGCTTGGGTGGGAGTCATGAAAAAGGTAAAGTAGGACAGGCTGAGACAAATAAGAAGCAGAGTCTGCAATTGGAGACCAGCTGGGAGGAAGAAAGAGGGGAATCTAGGAGGCAGTGTGGAAATATGTAAGGCTGTTTGTCCAGAAGTGGTGTGAGGTTCCTCTTGTGTGAGTTCTCTTAAGACCAGGTTGGAGGCAGGAACACAAGCACAAGTTGGTGGTTCTCCTTCCCTTGTTTTGTTGTTGTTTTCCCACATTTTTTAAAGCACGGTAGTCCCTTCAAAGCAGTGTCCAACAACACTTGCTTTATCTTAAAAAAAAAAAAAAAAAAGAATTTCAGTGACACTTTCTGCAATTGACATTGAATCCATGCATTTTTGGAGCCTGTTTCTTAACCTTAGCAGCAGTGGGCTCTGAACAATTTCAGGAACATTTTCTTAATTTTCTCTCACTCTTTTCCATTAATTGGCTTCTCTCACTCCACTCTGTCTTAGCAAGTTTGCAGATTTTTCCCACTACTCCCACTATAAAAACATGCAAGTTTTGAATAAAAAGAAATTGAGTACTTGGTCCACCCTATGCCAGGGAGTATTCACCCTCTCAGAGTCTTGTTTTCTGGGCAATCCCTATCACTTTTTACCTTCAGAAACCTTCTGGTAATACCCTGTTCTTTCCCAAGGCATTCCTGCCAGTTTCCAGTTTTGTTACCAGCCTCAGTGACTGGGGAAAAAAAAAAAAAAAAAAAAAAAGATTTAAACTTCTCTTCCCCTTAGCACTGGACTAGTGTATGCTCAATTGCATGCTTGCCTTTCTCTGTTTAGAGTAATCCATCTCCTGAAAAGCTTTTACAGAAAGGCAACTTCAAAAAATGCTAAATAATGACGAATTAACTGGTCTTTCTACCAGGCTGGCTAAGCCTAGGCCTCTCAGCTCTGTCGTGGTCTTGTGTAAATCAGAAACACAGCACTGGCATCAAAACTGTAACAGCCTGAGAGAGCATCTAATAACTAACATCCTGTGGGAAACAGC